TGAGTTAGCAGATAAATCTACACATGACATACATATTTTCTCCACAATAGAAGAAGCTATAAATTTTCATAAAAGGTTCCATGTCAATGCTAATACTTTACAAAAGCGTTTTAAAATAACTAAAGAACAAGCCCGACATATAATAAAACAATGTCAAAATTGTGTGACATTTTTACCACAAGTTAATCTTGGAGTCAATCCTAGAGGACTGATACCTAACCATATTTGGCAGATGGACGTCACACACTTGCCAGAATTTGGAAAATTAAAATATTTACATGTTACAGTTGATACTTCTTCCGGATTTCTGATGGGCTCCCTTCATGCCGGAGAAAAAACTAAAGATGTTATAGCTCATTGCTTACAAAATTTTGCCACTGTGGGTGTTCCAAAACAGTTAAAACCCGATAATGGTCCTGGTTATACGTCCACCTCTTTTAAACAATTTTGCTCATCATTTGGCATTACTCACATAACAGGAATTCCATACAATCCACAAGGACAAGGCATAGTTGAAAGAGCTCATCAAACTATTAAAATGTACTTATTAAAACAAAAGGAGGGAATTGGAAAGGGGTATATATCCCCCAAAGATAAACTTAAAATAACCCTTTTTACTCTAAACTTTTTAAATTTGGATTCATCAGGGCTTAGTGCTGTGGAAAGACATTTGTATCCAAAAAATGTACATAAGCCTAAGGTACTTTGGAAAGATATTCTAACAGGACAATGGAAAGGTCCTGACCCAGTGATAGTCTGGAGTCGGGGCTCTGTTTGTGTTTTTCCACAGGAAGAACAGCAGCCAATTTGGATTCCAGAGAGACTAACTAAAACAATTTCTACAGACCAAAAGGAAGATGATTCGACTCAAATCCATAACAGCTGATATCCAGATTTCCAGCTTGGCTATTCTTACATCTGCGACAGTGATTAACCAGGATGTTTTTTTTCAATATCTATTTTATTATTGCTTTTTCCCACATCATAAAGTTCTATTTTATTTTTGAGCTCATACAGACCTAGGTTAATGTTTTTTCTGATCAGTTTTATTTTTTGACTGTGGAGTTTTTGAACATTGCAATGGAGATTTCACCTAGGTAAAGCTACAAGGCCTTTACTATTGTCTTATGTGTTATATGTTACGTGTGCACACTTCTGTTTTGTGTTGTATGTCTGTATGTGCGTATGTCCATATATCACATATGAGGAGCCCTCATGCACTTGGATCCAAAAAAAATTTTTTTTTTATTATTCACATGATTTTAATAGTTTAATTTAATTTGGGCAAACAGCTGTTGAGGATTGTTTTAATATATGAACAAATAGAAGGTTAACAGATCTGTTTGTTTACTTTCACCTTTCCTTTTCATTATATTTAATAATTCTGTTCAGGATAATGTAAATTGTTCTAAATATTGTTTTCTTAGTACCTGTTGAAATGTTACATATTTTTTTTTAGCATCATTGTCAAAATTCCTATTTTCATCCCAGTGCCAGTGAAGACAAAGATAAAACCAAACTACAACTTCTTTGAGAGTTATCACAACAAACCGTGTAAACAGATACATCAATGATTTATAACTCAACAAGTAATGCTCAATCAATGAGTCGATTTATTTTGGAAGGATATGGACATATTGATAGATTCCTCTGCTTTGAACTGCTTACAAAACTTGCCTGGACTATGTATCACTTGCATGCTTTATTTTGGGAGGATATGGACATATTGATAGATTCCTCTGCTTTGAACTGCTTACAGAACTTGCCTGGACTATGTATCACTTGTATGCTTTGTGATCTATTTGTTGATGCAGCAAATTATGGTAATGCTAGCGTATCTTTGCTGATGTGTCACCAGTGATGCAATTTTTCCTAGGAGCCGTTAATTGACTTGGTGTCATGACATTTCTGTATCCTCCTCCCTTCTACTAGTGATGGTCTAATTTTGGGGGCCAACAGAGAACCTCACCGCCCCACCGGCACCAAGGCCAAATTTGGGGGCCAACAGAGGTGAGGCAAAGAACCTCACCCCCCCACTGGTACATAGGCCTATCCACAAGTATGGTTATATGCTGGACCGGTAGTCAGTGACGGGTATGATCCAATTGCAGTGGTATCAACCTAAGACAGGAGGCTGACGCCTAAAAGTCAGTTTTCCGATGACGGGTAAGAACCATATGTTGAATTGGACAAACCTAACAGGCAGGGTCCCTAGCCAGATTGCTTGTTACTTAAACAGAAGGGGGGAGATGCTAAGAGCCAAGTATATGATGCATGGCATTTTTGGTCGAAAGGTGACGCCAGCTAGCCATTGAGATGATATGATTATGTTAAGATTTGCATTCATATGGATATTGGACTCCTGCTGTTCACCTAGGCCAGCTACGGGACTCCTGGAGAGTTCCCATTGGTTGGGGAAGTACAGTAGGAGGGAGTTCCGGGGGAGGAGCTCTCTCTGCGGTTCCGAGAGGAGGCGCGTGGGTGGAAAAAATCTTCCCAGGCGGTACCGGACATTGGCGGCAGTTTCAAAAAATAAACTTTGTTCCTGCTTGAGTGGCTCGTGATTTTGTGCCCAGCCAGACTGCGGCATAAGTCCTGAGTGGATGGCAAAGTCCTGGTGGGCAAAGCACGCCAGGCATCACAAGGTCAAACAGACCTTTAGCTCTTTCCACAATCTCCGATATTTCCTAAATGCTCCCCAGTACACATACAATCTAATAATGCACAGTGAATATGCTAGTCACACACAGCTTCATGACAAATGCCCCCAACTCCCCCTTCCCACATAGATTGCCACCCCTACATGGAATTCCCCTATACATTCAGAAATCTCAGGGTAGAATTGTGAGTGGGATGAGCATAAATTTAATATAAAGATATATTTGTTCATCTACTCTCTTCATGTTGTCTGCATCTGATTTTTTTCTGCCCATTCCACAATTACTATTAATTCTTGAACCCCATAATGAGAGATGGCATGTATATGGAAACAGGGAGAAGGGTGCTAGATTTTGACTAGTATAAATAAACATGGTACCTTATTTAGTGGATGACAGCCAGGATATAAAGAGGATTCAAAAAGCCAAGGTCAAGTCCTTTTGTATTTCAGCTCCTATTACTTTCCTGGAAATACCACTTCATATGAATGCAGAAAATAAGGTACTAACCAGAGAGGGAGAAGAGAGAGACTCTGGTCCTCTCTGAAAACAGGGATGGCTACAAGGCTTGCTGTTGTGGCTACCGCGTTGAAAGATACACACAGTTCCCAGAGCCTTCTGCTACCTTCTGGTCTCCTCCATTTCAAAATTATTAGCTGAATAAACAGATAATAATTTTCAATCCTGCCTATTTACACTCTAGTTGTATACAATTATTCCAGACATTCCAAATTTATTTCCAATGCCCATTGGGGAAATCTTTTGGATAAAATCTTGAGTATTGTAATAAGACAACAGAATAATTACTACAGTATCTGACTAAAATGAACCTACCTTTCATTTTAAAGGGTTGAAAAAATTTTTAAACACTTTTTTATACCTTTATTTTATTTTTATGTGGTGCAAAAGATCAAACACAGTGCCTTATGCATGCTAGGCGAGTATTCTACCACTGAGCCAAAACCCCAGCCCCTGAAATATTTTTATTGTATTTGGGTGCTGAGATGGATTTTTAGAATACCTCTTTATCATAGGAAACTCCAACTTTAAAAATCATTACTGAAGAACTTCACACTTTAAGAAGCACAGATTAGTCAAATTATCTTTTAAAATTCCTCTTTAATTCCAAGGAGACAAAGTTCCTGGTCATTAAATGTGTTATGTTTAACTAACATTTATCATAACCAATGTAATAATTTAGAACAAGCAAACTTGGAAGAGTTATACTTTGAAGTGCTATGTGTGCAATAGAGTATAGGCCAAAGCCCTTTTAATAATCAATATGATCATTTTTGAAAATTTTTAAAAGATAAGCAGAATATATAGTAGAGAAAACATTTGATTAGGTGTCTCAACCCTCTATGAATATTCTGCTTCCCTAGCTAAGAAGACAAGGAAGTAAGTCACATACTTTTTAGAGACATCCATGTAGTGGCCAGAAGGTCAGATTAGATGGTCTCTAGGGATCTGTCCAGCTCTGGGATTATATATGACCAAATAACCTCTATGGTTTCTTCTAGCTCAGAATATACACATAATTGTAATTACTTGGAAAGCTGAGGCAGGAGGATTGCAAGTTCCAGGCTAGCCTGGGCTACTTAGTAACATCTTGTCTCAAATTTTAAAAAATAAACATTAAAAAGGGATGGGAGGGCTGGGGATGTGTGTGGCTCAAGTGGTAACGCGCTCGCCTAGCATGAGTGAGGCACTGGGTTCCATTCTCAGCACCACATAAAAATAAAATAAAGATATTGTGTCCACCTAAAAACTAAAAAATAAATATTAAAAAAAAGGGATGGGCTATGTAGCTCAGTGGTAAAGCACTTGCCTAGCAAGCACAGGGCCCTGAGCTCAATCCCCAGTACTGCAAAAAGAAAAAACAACAAAAAAAAAGATATATAATATATATGAGAACACATACCTACACACTTAGATACATAAATAAATATATGTGTATTCTACTCAAATCTTTAAAACAGCTTTTGGATATGTCAGATATCCAAGGATATATAATGGGAACACAGTTTTTCCCATTTAAAATTGTTATACAGGTTAATAGTATATGTTTGTTTTCAAAATTCATTATGGGTGATGTCTATTTTTTATTTGAGGTCATGTCTTTGGACAGGAATGCAATCCTAACTACAATGTTGTTCTGGCACATTTCACTTTATAAGGAGTACACTGCAGTAAAAAGTAGAGCCCATCCATGAAACATTAGAAAATGCTGGTCCCAACAGAAGTAACATTTGCCAACTAAACTTTGATGTTATTCATTGATTTAGAATTACATGTTAAAATATCTAATGTGATCTTCACCACTCAAATTCAATCAAAAAATAATAATAATCCAAAAGCACATTTTTATTTGCAGTAAAGTTATAAGACAGATGGGCACTTAAACTCAATACATGAAAAACTTAGATATGATGTTAAATTACAACTGAAGTTTCCAAAAATGTATTTAAAATCCAATTACAGCATTGTAATTTCCTTAAATTACTTTATTTTAAAGTGTCAAAAACTTAAAGATGTTCTTGTGTTTATACATAAGCTGTATGTCTCAATTCAGAACTTTTCCATCACTACAGAATGAAATACCCCCTTTAGTGTAGCACTTAATTTTTATTTTTTAAAATCTACTAAGGCTGATGCAATTTCTAAAGAGCAATGACCCCACCATAAAAATATTAAAGGCTGTCTTTTCTTTTTTAAAGTGCTTATTAGCTTTATATCCCAAAGCAATGGTTTTTCCAACATATAATATTGAAAGGTGCTCACAAAGTCACTATGTATATACTCAAATATGTCATTTTTCTAACTTTGAACATAGTAAACTGGTTTCATCTGCATTAATGAAGATTGCTTTCAATGGCCCTCAAACACATGCTTCAAATCAAGACAGCTTTATTTGTACCAGCAGTGGGAATAGTAACAGCAGAATGAACTGCAGCATAGTTTAAATAGATCACAGTAGACCACGAAAAATGGTAACAGCTTTTGGATACGTCAGACATCCCAGGATTAGCCTTCTCTTCACTCTGCGTATGTGGTAAACACTTAAAAAAAAAAAAAAACTATTAAAACACTCTCTTAATTCTCTATGGAGCATTTTTTTAGTGTATAAAGAGTTTAAACCCTCTTACTATTTAGCTGAACTCTGCTTATACATAGGAGCCTTCATATTCTCAACATTTTTTTTTTAAAAAAAGCCTATTTTCATAAAGAAAGCAAGAAGGAATTAATAAATGAAATTTTCAATCCTACAATCCTGAGAAATAAAATCATAAACAATTCTAAAATTAAATATTTTTTTAAAGGCTGATACAAATATTCCAAAACAGAATTCGTTTTCTGAGAGTGAAAAGTTACTTCATTTTAGTCATATCATTTTTACCTGATTTACACACTTTAGGACAAAAACTAAACATCATCTTAATCTAACTGCTTCCTGTGTGAGACTATCATCTGATTCATGTCTCCAATATGTACCATTCAATAGTCTTACAATGAGCATCCCCTCAGGTCTGTTTTCTCAGCCTGAAGTTTTGTATTCCTCCTTTCTCTCCCTCCAAAAATTCCTATATATCTCAAGAGAAAATTTACATTAAAAAAAAAACTCACAATTTAAATACAATGTGATAATACTACATTTGATTTAAAGTTTTAATAAATTATAAATTGCCAAATAACTTAATGTAATTCATAATGCAAATCCCTGGTATAAAAAAATCCATCGTGCCCTGAATATAATAAAGCAGTCCAGTGAATTCAAATTACTTATGAAATAAAAGCAAAAACAAGATGTAAAATACTATTTATAAAAGTCAAGTAAGAAACCAGTTACCATAAATCTTCTTACAAAGATAAATGTTATGTGGTTTACCACTTTGAAAAATTGTTAGGAAGGGCTATAATTAGTGGTTTCAAAAATGATTTTAGGGAAATCAGAGTTTGAATTATGTATTATTGTCATATATGACATATTAAATATATCTGTAACAATAATACTACAATGTCAGGGGGAGGGGCATGCGTAGTGGCACACATCTGTAATCTCAATTACTGGGGAAACTGAGGCAGGAAGATCTTGCCTTCAAGGCCAGCCTGGGAAACTTAATGAGATCCTGTCTCAAAATAATAAAAATAATAATAATAATACTGCAACGGAGAATAATTTAAATTAACTTCTGCACTTGCTATCTTTTGGCAAGTATATTTCTTTTTTTTAAGTTTTTGCTATAAGTGATTAATTTTAAATGTTTGTCTTCAAAAACTTTTTTACTTGAGGTACTTATGTTCATAGGGAGATACCAGAAGTCTCAAATAGTAATAACATGCCTACAAAATAAAACAAAGATTGTTCTTGCATCTTTTGTTATTGTAACAAATATACTTTAAAATAGACAACACTGCTATGCTTAAAAATTAAAAATATCCAATTTTAAAAAGGGGTGAAAAGGAAAAAAATTTGAAAATTCTTATTTAAAAATAAATCTAAAGTCCTTGCATTTCTTAAGAACCTGACAGTTCTTCTTCTTTTCAATCAAGTTTTATCTTCCACCAAGATAAGTTTTATCATTCGTGTGATAAGATGTCAAGTCTTCATCTTGTTGGTTTCAGTTTGAATTTTCTTGAATGTTTGCACTACTGGTACTGGACTTGAGACGTTTGGCTAGATAAGACAAAAGTATTATATTTTAAATTTAATTTTTAAACATAATTATTTATTATTTTTATGTAAGCACAGTATTTATCTATTGTTTGAATCCAAATAGATTCAATCTTCTAAATATTAAATTCCATTTTTTCTACCAACTTTGAAAAACAACTTAGTTAGAAACTACATATGACATGGCTAGAAGTAGTACCAAATAAAACAAACATAATTTATACTTTCTTGAACATCACAATCTTAAATATGTAATATAGATAAAAGCAATCTACTTAGATGATAAAAGTGCTATATAGTATAATAAAAAGTCAGTGAAGCTGGGCACAGTGGCACAGGCCTGTAATCCCAGCAGCAGCTTGGGAGGCTGGCTTTGTGAATTCAAAGCCAGCCTCAGCAACAGTGAGGTGCTACGCAACTCAGTGAGACACTGTCTCTAAATAAAACACAAAATAGGACTGGGGAAGTGCTCAGTGGTCAAGTGCCCCTGAGTTCAATTCCCAGTACAGACCCCACACACACACAAAAAAAGAAAAGTCAGTGAAAACTTCTTCTGATAAAGGGTAGCTAAGAAGATTCTACAGTAATTATTATGCTCAATTATGAAAAACTGAATGATTTCCCCCTAAGATCTGGAATAAGACCAGGATATTTAGTCTTATTCAACATCATGCCACTAATTTTGTCAGTGCAATATAGTGAGAAAAAGAAAAGGAAAGGTATCCATATGGAAACAAAAAAATTTGCTTCTGTTTTCAGATTAAAAAAATCAATTTAGGGGCTGGGGGTGTAACTCAGTCATAAAGATTATGCTTAGTACTTTGTGTACCATCAGTGACTTGAAAAATTGTGCTCTATATGTACAATATGAGATGAAATGCATTCTGCCATCATGTATAACAAATTAGAATAAATAAATAATTTAATTAAAAAAGGAAAAAAAAGATTATGCTTAACATGTTCAAGGCCCTGGGTTCAACTCCCCAGTACTTCATGAAAAAAAAAATCAGTGAAAGAACTCTATAAAATACATTAAATGACTTACAAAAATAAATTGTATACCACATGCACATTCACAAACATATGCACAAACACAAATATATATAGCTTCAAAGAAAATATGTGACAATCAGTTTTGATTGTAGTGCTAATGGGATTGGGTTATTGGGGTTAACAGAAAAAAATCATCTTATTTGGCATGGTAATATGTTTTATTCTTACAGTTAAATAAGAATATTTCTCATTCGGAGCTTTAGAAATGAAAAACATCAGTGCCAGTGTGAGAGTACCTTATACCAGAAAACTAGGAATCTTACTCAGGCACCATTTTTGTTTATTTTGATTTCAAGCTTTGTAAATAATTTTGATAGTCAAGAATGAGAACCCTGCTATAGTTTCAATCGGGATCTCCCGACTCCCACTGTTCATGCAAAATGACAAGCTGACTTCCTGGACCAGTGTGTTTGCTTAAGCCTAAACTTAAGGGCAAACTTAAACTTAAAAAAAAAAAAAAAAAAAAGGCCTTTAGGGAAGAAAACTAAATCAGCAGTTTGTTTTTTTGTTTGTGATCTAGCTTATTACCAATTATCAAATTACTTAATAAACTGACCAGGCAGCAATACTGGTAGGTATATATACCTACAACTTCTTGCCTCTTTAGTCTCTTCCTGATAAATCCTCATGGCCTTTAAAATTCTCCCCACACCCCACCTCCAGCAATGGTGTAGAGGTAAATTTCAACCTAAAACAGAATCATACTGTGTCTCTACCTTTACTACATACTTTAATAATTGAGTCAGGGTCAGTGTACTCTTTGAGGACATGAATTATGCCTTGTTCCTTTATTCTATTTATTTTATTTTATTTTTTAAAAATATTTATTTTTTCTTCTTTTTTTTCTTTTTTTTTAGAGAGAGAGAGAGAGAGAGAATTTTTTAATATTTATTTTTTAGTTTTCGGCGGACACAACATCTTTGTTTGTATGTAGTGCTGAGGATCGAACCCAGGCCGCACGCATGCCAGGCGAGCGCGCTACCGCTTGAGCCACATCCCCAGCCCCATATTTATTTTATTTTTAAAAAAATTTTGGTACCAGGGATTGAACCCAGGGGTGCTTTACCACTGAGCCACATCCCCAGTCCTTTTTATTTTTTTGAGACAGGTCTAAGTTCTTAGGGCCTTGCTAAGTTGCTGAAGCTGGCCTCAAACTTGTGATCCTCCTGCCTCAACCTCCGGAGTCACTGGGATTGCAGGCGTGTGGTACCGCACCCAGTTTGTTCCTTTTTAATCCCAATTCCTACCACAATGCTAGTATTGTGGCAGGGATTCAGTAACTGCTTGTTATGGTTTGGAATGTGAGGTGTCCCCCAAAAGCTCACAGGTGAGATAATACAAGAAAGTTCAGAGAAGAAATGATTGGGTTTCGAGAGCTTTAACCCAATCAGTGCATTAATACTATGATAGGATTAACTGAATGGTACCTGGAGGGGGGTTATTGGGCTGTGTGGCTATGGGGTATATATCTGTATCTGGTGAGTGAAGTCAGAATCTTTGCTTTCTGATTATCATGTGAGCTGCTTCCCTCCACACACTCTTTCACCATGACGTTCTGCCTCACCTTGAGCCCTGAGGAATGAAGCCTGCTGTCTATGGATTGAGACCTCTGAAACCATGAGCCCTTAAATAAACTTTTCCTCCTCTATAGTTGTTCTGGTAGGGTCCTTAGTCACAATAGCGAAATAGCACACTAAAACACACAGGCAAGATATTATAGGTTGTGGGCTGGGGATGTGGCTCAAGCGGTAGCGCGCTCGCCTGGCATGCGTGCGGCCCGGGTTCGATCCTCAGCACCACATACAAACAAAGATGTTGTGTCCGCCGAAAACTAAAAAATAAATATTGAAATTCTCTCTCTCTCTCTCTCTCTCTCTCTCTCTCTCTCTCTCTTAAAAAAAAAGATATTATAGGTTCTGTACAAACTGATCTACATATAATCATTTTTTTTAAGGTAAGTGTATTAGAAGTGAAATCAGATGAAGAAGTGCCAGAAGGATTTAAGGGGAAAAGAACTTTTAAAGTGCAGGGTTCTAGAATACAAATAATATTTAAGAGAAAAAAGATTAGCTTTTCCTCAAAAAAAAATTCATTTTTAAATACTAAAATTACTAAAGGCCAAGCCCATTCTTTCCCTGTGACAATAAAGGAGAAATTTGTGTGATCCAAGAGTCACTCTTTTCTAGCTACACAGGATCTTCAAGCTAGTGCTTCTCTTGCTCTGCCCTGCTGGCAGGGGAGAGGGAAAGAAATCAGTCCACACTGAGCATGTGACATATGTCAAGGAACGTCCTTGGAACTACAATTCTCTTTTGTTCATAAACAAACGGCATGTTAGTTACAATTTTCTTCTGGACTACTCCACTTGTAAGTCCTTCTACCAGGACTCCGATGGCCTAAGAGCTATTTTATGTCCCTACTACTACCACGGTAGAACTGCAAGGACCCTGCTGATACTCTTCTGCTACTATCAACCTTATTCTGGGGATAATATAGCTTTCTCAGTTAATCATCTGAAATACATGCATCCTCAAGTTTGTTTTTTATTATCAGCACTCCTAAAATTCTCACAAATCTCTTCCATTAGTAAGCATAATTGTTAAAGGTAAAGCAGAAAGCCATTTTAGGCTGACATACTTTTGAGTTCTCAGAATATATATCATTTCTAAAACAGGCATAAACTTTTAAATGCAGGATATTATCTAAACAAATGAATAATTGTTTAAAAAAAAAAAACACTTACGCAGAATGAGTTTGCGTTTCTTTTGCTCCGAGTGAAGAAAGCTACTAAGGTAGAAAACAACAGGTAGAAAGAGGATGAACACAGAAACAGCAATAACAGGCACTGTGTCACTGCAAGAGATTGAGCAGTTGAAAGTTCGACTCCAAAGTTTTCGAGTAATATTCATCTGAAACAACAAATAACATTATTCTATTTTATATTTAACTTGTCTTCAAGTTCTTATAATTATTTTGTTAATAATTACTCATTGTATAAATTTACATTAATATAAGCCAGGCATGGTAGTGCACACATGTAATCCCAGCAACTCAGGAGGCTGAGGCAAAAGAACCACAAATTTGAGGCCAGCCACTGCAACTAGTAAGGTCCTATTCTCAAAATAAAAAATAAAAAGGGATGGGGGCTTGGGGTTGTGGCTCAGCGGTAGAGCACTCGCCTAGCACACACAAGGCCCTGGGTTCAATCCTCAGTACCACATAAAAATAAATAAGTAAAATAAAGGAATTGTGTCCAACTACAACTAAAAAATAAATATTAAAAAATTAATTAATTAAAAAATAAGAGGGCTGGGGATAGATGTAGTTCAGTGGTAAGCATCCCTGGATTCAATTTCTAGTACCATAAAAATTTTTTAGGGTACTATAAATAAAAAAATAAAATTTACATTAATACAACAATGTCATATTCAAAATTCATAATACTGACCAAAGTATAACAATATCAATCACTCATAGCTTTCAAACAGAGAACTTATATTAATAGGAATGTAGTTAAACCCTGTTTCCATCCTTAAAAAATTTCATTATTTATTGAGAACCTACTTCAAACCAAGTAGTATTCTAGGCAATAGGAATAGGACAGTAAAAACAAAAGTCCTCACGACGTAGTGATTTTAAGTGCTTTTTAAACCATCCTGAATATTACTAGTCCACTACAGTTTCTTCTGAGCTGCTGTGATAATTCACACTCATTATTCGCACCCATTAAGCTTATCAATTTTAATTTCAAGTGAGTTCTCTGCTCTGAGCCAGAAATTTCTTTCCTCTAATGCCTTCTCAGGCATCATATTGCCTAAAAAGCCATGATCGCCATCTAGTGGTGACCTATGTAAAGGCTGACTATATAATGGAAAGAAAAGATTTGTTGCTGACCATTCAATTAATACACTATTTACTAAGAGCCCACTCTATGCCAGGCATTATCCTACAGACTGAACAATGAACAAAAAAAGACAAGGTTCTTGTCCTCATGTGGTTTATATTTTAGTGAGAGGAGACAACTATAAACATAAGTATTTTCAGATTGTAAGAGTTGTAAAGAAATAAATAGGATAGGAAGTAACTGAGGAATGGCTTCTCAAATACATTATAGTAAAATCTAGACACTTTAATAAACAATGAGTACACAGTATAATTGAAAATAAACATACAATAATGCCCACACCTCTGAAAATAGCACACATTTTCAATTTTTTTTTTAAAAAAGTAATAAATTGTTAATTCACTTGTGAAGTGCCTAATCAATTTCCATTTAGTTTGACAGACCAGGATATTCTACTTTATAACTAATACACAGTTATTGCTGGTTGAAGACTGGCAGATTACAATGTGCCTCCAAAAGAGATAATACTACTAATGGTATATTTAACAACCCTGCAAAATATGCATCATATCAGAAGCAAGTACTTACTGCATCTTCCACATCGATACATAAATGTGTTTCAGGAAGTTCAGCCTTATTATCAAGCTCATTCATTTTTTGCATTTCACTGTACAGACTGCTCAGAGTTTTGTATGCTTCACGACAGTTTTTACACACTTCTGAGTAATTTTTTGGTGGTAGAAGACCATGTGCACTCTCCTGAAGTCACAAAGGCAGATGTAATACATACAATAAACATCATAAATAATATCTCTGTTAATTATCTAATCTTCCAGAAGACAGGAGACAAATCTGGTGTGTTCAAGTGCTGAGCTGTGAGGTTGAGGACATTACTAAATCACCTGTATTATAGGTTCCACAGATTAGAGACCCGGTATATGAAGCACATGGCAAAATATTTGGCACTTTCTAAATGTCCTAAATGTTGAAAACCACCGCACCAGCCAATGTCAAATGCAGACAACACTAACTCATATGCCAAGTAACTTATAACTAAATGCCAAAGTTCTCCAATTATCTCATCAATAATATCTGCACATATCCATCCCATTGCTGACTAAATAAAATATGTCCCTGCCTGTGCTGTCTTCACCAAAGTTTGCTTGAGACAGGACTTCCATAATGGGAAAGGAAAAGGCACTACAACTAGATCCCCACTCAATTCTTTATCAGAAGGCTCTTAATCTGGGCCTTTCTAGTCAAAAAAAAAAAAAAAGAGAGAGAGAGACAGAGACAGAGACAGAGACAGAGAGAAACTCCAAAGAACTGGATAGCCTCAATAAGGGAAGGAGACATAACTTATGTTAGAATATCTGTTTTTTATACTTCTAGATTGACACATGTCCTTTCAAGAACAAGTTTACATATTGCTTTCTTTTTTTTTTTTTTAGTGTGGGGGTGGTTACCAGGGATTGAACTCAGGGGCACTTGACCACTGAGCCACATCCCCAACCCTATTTTGTATTTTATTTAGAGACAGGGTCTCACTGAGTTGCTTAGAGCCTCGCTATTGCTGAGGCTGGCTTTGAACTCACAATCCTCCCGTCACAGCCTCCTGAGCCACTGTGATTACAGGCATGCACCACCATGCCCAGCTACACATTGCTTTCTATTCCCTTCATTTTTTGCCATACTGTATGAAGAAAGAACATTAACTGAACATGGGAATTAAAGAAAAAAGGACAAATCAAAAAAATTAAACTGATGTAGCCTCTATAATGTTACCCTCACCATTTATTTGACAGAAAACCAGTCTCCCCTTAGTCTGCCATAAGAAAAAGCCCATCACCTAATTTTCACAGAAAAATTTAGCTGAACCCAAAATCAAACATTGAGCACAGAATCTTGATGGGGGATAATTTAGCCACTTTTATTAAAACTCAAAATGCACATGTCTTTTGATAATACAATTCCACTTCTCTGAGTCAACCAAACAAGTCTTCACAAGTATGCCAAGTCATATGAAAAAAGGTTCTCTGTGGCAGTGATTTTTAACAGTGAAGTACTGACATGTGGCATGACAGCTTCATTCTGCCTGTGGGGATAACCAGCACTTTGCAGACAGCTCCTCTCCATAGTCACCAGGACAGGCCAGATTTCCACAGAAGCTACCTGCAGGCACCTACTGCCCAAGCTGGACCTTACCTGGCACTTAAACCCACCTCCCTGCTATTCACCTGAACTGAAAGCTACTGCCACAGCCAACATCATCAAAATTTCACTGCTACTGCATTATCTGTTTTGCTGTCTCCTACTGACTCCTCTCCTGAGCTTTCTCCCTACACACAAACCCTAAAAAACACTGGAGTGTCCCAGGATGCAGTATTTGGGGCCCCTTTCCATCTCTCTACATTCACTCTCATCCAGATGGTGACTGTGAGCACCATCTGGACCTGCGGTCTCCCAAACCTCTATCTCCAGTTCACAATTCTTCCCGGAGCTCCAATCTCATTTATAACCAACCCCATGTGTCATCTCACCTCAGGTGTCTAATGGAGACATCCTACTTAACACGTTCAAAACAGAATTCTTAATCCCACTCCCCTACAAACTCACTCCTCCTTCTCCATGCCATTATCCTCTCAGCCACTCAGGACCAAAGCCTAGGATTACATCCAGATGCTTTGCTTTCCTTCACTAGCAACCCAAACCATTCCACCAGCAAATCCTGCACACAGACTTCTAAAATATGCTCTGAATTCACCTACTTTTCTTCAATGCTGCCAACAACACCCTCTCCTGTGCAGCCTCCAATCAGTTTGTACCTCCACACCTCCACTTTGGCCTGCCTTCACCTGAGCTCCTCTATGGAGCAGCCAAAGTGCTCTTGCAGCATCTGATGATGTCCTATGGAATTCTTGCTTGAAGTGGCCTCCCCCATGCTTAGAATTTGTAGTAGTAGATATAATATTTCTAACTTACTAGAAACCTGGTTTTAAGGCTTCAGATTATTTGAATTATGGAATTCTACCTTGATCTGGGGAAGAAGTAGCTATTGTCTAATCTTGAAAACTGAGAGAGAACTACAGATTCAGACCTATTTCTTCAAAATCTTAAGATAAAAGATGCTTAAATATAGAAAGTGAAACCATAAAAGTACTAAAACAAAATTTTAAAGTATCTCAATGTGGGAAAAAAAGCCTTCCTAATGTAATGAAAATACCATAAGTCATTATAAAATTGGTAAATCCAACAAAATTAAATTTTTCTTCATGATAAAAGAAAGCACAATGAAAAGACAACAAACTAGGAAAATAGCATTTGCAAATAACATCACAGAAAAAGGGCTAATATCCTACAAATATATTCATTAGAACACTGGTCTCTTAAACCAAAGAGTTCCCTGGTCAAATAGATTTGGTAAATGTGGTCAACACAAATGTCCATCTGAAATTTTATAAAATACATGAGTCCACTAAATTTTATAAAATACATGAGTCCACTAAAAGTCCTTAGTGAAGCATTTCCCAACCTTGGTAGAATATTAAACCCTCTTTTGACAGGTCACTTTATTAATGTCCTATAGAACACATTTTGGAAAATAGGAAATCTTTTTTGTTTTTCTCAGAGAAATTTATAACTCTATGTAATAACATTTATTAAACAGGAAATCATACATACTCACACTCAACACATGTTTATATCTACTTGTGGGGATTACTTATTTATTGTGCAAATACAAAACTACAGTTTTTACCAAGGTTCCAATTTCATACTTCACTACCACCAGGCAAGTTCTAATACCAAAGTTCAAGGGTCAGAGATGGAAACAACAAAAACGTATAAGCTAGAATTCTTAAAGGCTACCTTTTGTATCATATTATTATTATGTTTACCTTACTAAATATTATTCAAGTTTACCTTACTAAATAATGCCTTTTAAGGGTATAATAGTGAGTTAAGCAAATATTGAGGCAAAAAAAAAAAGCTTCCTGTAGACAGAATCATACTGCACAGTGAAATACCCATTATTGCATAAACAAAGTCAAAGTCGGATTAAACAACATTGTGTTTTAATTAAACACCTGCATGCCTCAGTTAGTGTTTTCACACTCATTATCTCACCAAATCTTCACTACAAAAACACTTGAAGGCAGGCAGATCAGCTATTACTGTCCCTACTTTACAAATGAGAGAACTGCAGTCTTAATATCTGCAAGCAGAAGAACTGAAGAGCAGAAATTCAAACCTACTAATTCCTCTGAGTACAGATAAACACCAACAATGTCATAAAAACTTGGAGTTAGACATTATTCATTTGTACAAGACAGCATTTTAATCTCAAATATATATAAAGTACCTGAAGGTTATGCTCAAAGCAGGTCAAGGTGAGGTTAAATAGATTGAGGAAATATATTGTGCTGTTTGATAATTCTTCACCGTTGTCTGTTAAACAATCTGTCAAAAAAAGTATATTACTATATCACAAGCAACAATTTCATGTTGTCAGTTAGCTTTCAAGTTATCATCTTTTGTTTGCACTATAATAATCCTTTATTTCAGCAAGCATGAAGTATTCCACATAAGAGAATTTTCCAAATGCATGAAGTTCACCCTTATTAGTTTCCAAAAACATTTTTAAATCCGCCATTTTCATGAAAATCTTAAAATAATTACATACCTTCCTCCTTCTATATAAACAATATATCATACCAAATGAAATTTAAATTGACCTTTAATGGTAAAAAGGTCATAATCATGAAAATCAGGTCTCTTAATAGTGCTATTTAGGCATAACACTGTTTATGCTACATTAATTTTGCCTCAATTCTTCTCCCTTTTTATCTTTGTGTCAAATTTAGTAGTTCTGTGTCTCTTCCAACTTCACTAACAGGGTCATTTATTGTACCTAATAGGGTAGCCTTTTTAATTTGCTCATTCTATCATGAGTTGGGAGTCCAGAGAAATAAATGGGTGCAAATTTTAACCAAATACTGACAAAAAGTATCAAGTAAAGTTTGGAAATAAACAGAATTGTCTTACATGTTTTTATAAATCTTACATAAATTGTATTCCTCTGCAACTTCTACTCTTGCTTAGCATTAGCTCAAGTTAATTCATTCCTTTGCTTTTTTATGAATATATTCATAAAAATAAATATATTGCAATTTACTTCCCCATTCTCCCCTCTTTAGTGAATCTACTCTTCATCTTCCCTTTGTCTTTCTCTCCCTGAGTTCTCAGCCTATCATCTCCAAGTCAGGCTCAACAGCAGGGCTTCAGATCCCACTTGTGGTGGTTGCAGTTTAACTAATCTCCTCAAATCATTGCCTTCCACATACCCACAAACATTTCCATCTGCTTTCTCTACTCCTGATTCTGGTTCTAGAACACAATTACATAAAATTCTAAAATTATACTAAAAGAACCCGAATCAAATTCATGTGACCTATGAAGTCACATCATCATAGATGCCCTATTAATTGCTCTACAGGGATGTTCCACAGGAATGTTCCAAATATTTTCTATTCCCTAGTCCCCAGTCCAATTCTTGTCCCCCTTAATTTCAACAGACAGCTTTATATGGCATCCACCTGACTCAGAAAGTTAACGCCAACTAAGAGTATCTTCTCAGCCATGTGTGGTAGTACATGCCTGTTATCCTAGCTACTCTAGCCAAGGCAGAAGAAATGAAGTCCGAGGCCAGCCTGGGCAATTTAGCAAGACCCTGTTTCAAAATAAAACAAAAGGGCTGGGGATGTAACTCAGTGGAAGAGCACTTGCCTAGCTGCATAAGCCCTGGGTTCAATCCCTAATACCACCACCAAAAAAAAAAAAAAAAAATCTTTCAACCAGGAGTGGAGAGATACCATAGAAAACTACTGCAATGATCCAAATGGAATTCTTTGGTAGACAAGAAAGAGCTGAACAGGTAGACACTGGGACACAACACTAAAGGATGTCTCATGCACTATGAAAAACAACAATGAAAGCTGGCATGTGCTGAATAATTGTTATGTTCCAAGCACTATGCTTATATTTGAAACACATTTACTTATTCAATTCTTGCAATGATTCTATGAGGCAAGAATAAGAAGCTTAGAGAAATTATGGAGGTTGCCCAAGGACACGAAACTGATTAGCAAAAAGCCAGAATGTATACTCAGTCTGATTCTTGAGCTTGTACTCTCAAACACAGCAAAATAAACAACACATTCACAGCTACATTCTTGATGATTAAAAAGTTCAACAAACACATGCCATGGCTCCTCCGTCCAGCACACAGACATCTTACACCGTGCAGGGATTCAGGCAGTCTCTACCAACTCAACAGAGTTGGCAACCAAGATGAAACCCGAACCGGGTGAACTGGGCAGCAGCAACCAGCACTTTAAGTCTCCTTTGGGCAAATTAGAAACAGGCTCCTCCTCTAGGTGGATGAATTATGAAAGGGCACTCTTGCCTCAGAAGCCAACTAGAATTCACCCCATTCACTCCCTCATACACACGGCCTATGCAGGGCCCCCTCTGAACCCAGTGAACATGGGGCCCTCTTAGTAAACCAATTCCTAGATTCTTCTCTCTCTGAACTTGTATACTCTACATTCTCTGCAGCTTTGTTTTCCCAAGAACATAAGTTCCATACTAACTGTTCACCCGATCATTTAAAAATCTGAGGGTTCATTTTACAAACTGAAACTAAGAAATTAAGCCAGAGAAATGAGGGGATATATTGAGGCCCATATACCAAGTTCATAAGGCACAGAAATACCAAATATACTTTCCAGACTCCTATATTCTCTTAATTGTACCATTTTTTTTTTACTATTTAAATATATTATTTCATTGTCAGTTTTCACAAAATTCAAATAATAAATTATTTAAAATGTGTGTGTGGCCAGATGTGGTGGCACACGCCTATAATCCCAGTGGCTCAGGAGGCTGAGACAGGAGAATGTTGGGTTTAAAGCCAGCCTCAGCAACAGTGAGGTGCTAAGCAACTCAGGGAGACCCTGTCTCTAAATAAAATACAAAATAGGGCTGGGATGTGGCTCAGTGGTTGAGTGTCCCTGAATTCTGTCCCCAGTACCTCCCCCCAAAAAAAGAAAATGTGTGTTTGTGTGTATGTAAATGCCCCATGAAGTACTCTTGAATTCTCTTAGGGATGAGGCAGAGTATGTGTGTGTGTGTGTGTGTGTGTGTGTGTGTGTGTGTAAACACAATTAGATAGACACAGAATATTAGTATTTTAAGTTAATAAGACTGAACAACACATTTTGTGTTTGATGCCTTGCAGGGAAGTTGAGGGAGCACAATTTCATCCACAGCAACAGGAGATCTGTGTTATGATGAGCCATGTCATGACAACTAATGTATACAACATAAGAGGGAAAGTAGCATGTGTCCCAGCACGACCTGCAATAGTATAAAGCCTTTTACTATGAGAGACCATAGCAATTTCTTCTACACATGATACATAATTAAAATAATTTCTTTATTTAAAAAGTAATTTATAAATAAAGCTTCTCTGAAGAACAAAAAGACATAATCTCTTGTATTTTACTAACAGCCATTTACATTTCACTGAAGATAATCTGCAAGTTAAACTAAAAGCTAATACATTCTTGTCATCTGGTTAAGCACTGTACTCAACCATCAAAACTTTTTCAATAACTGTTAGCAGAATCATAAAGCACAAAGGAGTTCATTATTTAATAGGGTTAAAAATGTCTTCATTATTAAAAAGCCCTGACTTTCTGCTTCAAAACAAAGGAACTTCAGTAAATTCCTCTTGTATCCTTTTCCTGAAACTGGGGCATAAGGTTATAAACAGTGAGAAGCTATGTATTTTAGAAATTAGTAAGTTAAAGACTATTAGCAATTATAAAGCTTCCTATAAGCACTAAGTGAAGTGGTCATTATGAATTTCCCTCTCTCAGATAATCAATGGAGCCTCATCAAGGACACATTAGCATAGCTTCTGTCTCAGTGAGGGCTCAGGCTTCAGCTTAAGAGGCAATCTTAAAGGTGCTAAGGATCCAAGTGAAGACCTTTCACAGAAGCCCAAAAAATCATCATAATGGGAATTATGCATCTTTAAATAAAGTATTTGGCATCTATTACAAGTTTGTATAAAGAACTCTGCTGTTTTCAAAATCAGTTTTATAGAAAACAATAATCACTAACAGGGCAAGCTTCAGAATATCTAAAGTAAATTGTGGAAATGGATCAAGGAGCTTGATATCAAATCAGAGACACGGCGTCTGATAGAAGAAAAAGTTGGCTACGATCTACATACTGTGGGGTTGGGCTCCAAATTCCTCAATAGGACACCCATAGCACAAAAGTTAATAACTAGAATCAACAAATGGGACTTACTCAAACTAAAAAGTTTTTTCTCAGCAAAAGAAACAATAAGAGAGGTAAATAGAGAGCCTATATCCTGGGAACAAATCTTTACTCCTCACACTTCAGATAGAGCCCTAATATCCAGAGTATACAAAGAACTCAAAAAATTAGACAATAAGAGAACAAACAACCCAATCAACAAATGGGCCAAGGACCTCAACAGACACTTCTCAGAGGAGGAACATACAGTCAATCAACAAGTACATGAAAAAATGCTCACCATCTCTAGCTGTCAGAGAAATGCAAATCAAAACCACCCTAAGATACCATCTCACTCCAGTAAGATTGGCAGCCATTATGAAGTCAAACAACAACAAGTGCTGGCGAGGATGTGGGGAAAAGGGTACACTTGTACATTGCTGGTGGGACTGCAAATTGGTGCAGCCAATTTGGAAAGCAGTATGGAGATTTCTTGGAAAGCTGGGAATGGAGCCACCATTTGACCCAGCTATTCCCCTTCTCGGTCTATTCCCTAAAGACCTAAAAAGAGCATGCTACAGGGACACTGCTACATCCATGTTCATAGCAGCACAATTCACAATAGCAAGACTGTGGAACCAACCTAGATGCCCTTCAATAGATGAATGGATAAAAAAAATGTGGCATTTATACACAATGGAGTATTACTCTGCATTAAAAAATGACAAAATCATAGAATTTACAGGGAAATGGATGGCATTAGAGCAGATTATGCTAAGTGAAGCTAGCCAATCCCTAAAAAACAAATGCCAAATGTCTTCTTTGATATAAGGAGAGTAACTAAGAACAGAGTAGGGTCGAAGAGCATGAGAAGAAGATTAACATTAAACAGGGATGAGAGGTGGGAGGGAAAGGGAGAGAGAAGGGAAATTGCATGGAAATGGAAGGAGACCCTCAGAGTTATACAAAAGTACATACAAGAGGAAGTGAGGGGAAAGGGAAAAATAATACAAGGGGGACAAATGAATGTCAGTAGAGGGGGCAGAGAGAGAAGAGGGGAGGGGAGGGGAGGGGAGGGGGGATAGTAGAGGATAGGAAAGGCAGCAGAACACAACAGACACTAGTATGGC